CGGATGCTCCCACCGCGCAGCCCGAGCGGGCACCCCCGAGCCGGCACCCTAGGCGGGTACCCCCGGATACCTTGCGGCCGCGGGCAGGCGCCGTCATCTCCGCGCTGCTCGGCCCGAGAGGGACTCGAAAGTATGTAGGAGAAAAGTTTCCCCTCCCACATGGGGGGAGGATGTCGGGGGAGCGAGGGCGGAAGATGGAGAGCAGCGCTGGGAAGATGTTTCTGGCCGGCGGTGCGTGCACCATCCGAGTCCCCACGGTGCTGGTTAAAAATAAATTGGGCGGCGGGCGCGGCGGCGCGGGTCGGGCTGGATTCCTGCGCTCGGACGGCTAATATGGATGCGCATCAGGTCCTGGCGGCGGGGCGCTGCGGCGGCCGCGGCAGCTCGCGCTGGGAGCTGGTTGGCAGAGCCGGCGGCTCGGGAAGGGGAAAGGAGCGGAGGAAGGGGAGGAGGAGGGGGAGGAGGAGGAGGAGCGGCCCGGCGCGCAGCCCGTGGGGAGAGGGCTGCCCGGCTCATCCCCGGCCGGCCCCACCGCCCCGAGCGCACGCAGCGCGGCGTGGGGCGCTCCGGTCCTCGGCTCCGGGAAACGGCGAGTTTGAAAAGTACAACGCGCCCTGCAGACTTCGCCCTCCCCATCCCCAAAAGTTCTTTAAAAGGTCGCTCCCACTCAGTCCCAGACATCTCGCTGCCACCCGAGTCCCGCGAGCCGGAACCCCGGGCGCGTACTTACGGCACGGCAGGGCGCTGGGCTCCCGGGCATGATGCCGTGGGGACCGGTGGGCTTTGGGGAGAGAACGAGGAGAGATGCAAACTTGTTCCGGAAAAGGAATCAAAATGGCGTTTCTGGATGTGCAAAGTTCATCAACTCCGTAGTCACTTCCCCTCCTCCTCTTCTCCCACAGGGAGGGAGGTGGGCGAGGAGCTGGCGACCCCGGCGCCCCAGCCGTCGTCCCGGCCCCCGCCTCGGCCCCCCGCCCCGCTTCCTCGCCCGCACGCTCGGAGACTCGCTCTCCCCCTCTCACCCTGATAAGTAGACACATCACGTGTTGCTCCTGCCAGTCTCCTGGG